CCCCCAGCAGACTGGGGACACCTTCACCGTTCCCCAGCAGACTGGGGACACCTTCACCTTTCTCCAGCAGACTGGGAACACCTTCGCTTTCCCCGAGCAGATGTGACTAGTCTCTCCCTTTTCTTGAGCTGTTACCAAAATAACAGAACACAAATATGGGGGACAGATGGCAGCTATTTGATGATAACCATGTCCTCCTCACGCTCCGTTCTCCTTCTACCTCTTCATCACTTTGACTATTCAGTGCAAATTTACTCCTAAATCAATCAATCACCAAGTCCAGAAACCCTAAAAACTTCCAGTGACTGGCTTTCCTCCGGGCTGAGAATGTGGGTCAGGGTCTCCCTCAGGAGATGGGATCTGCTCAAAAACCAAATATATGATTTATATCTGAAACTTGCAGACTGAAGCATCCTGGGCTGCGCGTCCACAGAAACCACACAGAAAAGAATGAAGAGATTTTTTTTCTAACAGAAGAGCTTATAAATCAAAGCAGCCCACTGTCCAATACTCAGCAGCAGCTCCTATGCAGAGTGAATGTGATGATCTTGAAACTCTCAGGAAAAGGAGAGAAATGCATTACCGGCCACTCCGAAAGGCCTCCGCAAGCCCGAGGTCAGTTTTCTGGTGTTGTTGTCCCTCAGCTCCATGCGACCCACTCGAACGATTTGACAAACAAAACTGATTTTGTCCCTTTTCAGGTCTTTGCTTCCGAGGTCCTAGAAATAATAATTTCCATAAATTATTTTGGAGAACCATTACTCGGTGCAGGTTCAATTGAGAAAGAAGGACTGAGAGCCTCTTCTCTGACCAGTTTTTAGCATATGAATAAGTTATTCACATCACCAAAAGGAACTGAGTAACAATAGCCAATTAATGTTAAGGTATCTGAGAGTGCTGGGGTAAACCTCTGTCATGGGGAATCGAAGGCAAGCTAGAGACGCAGAACAGTTCTGGGAAGACATTTTGTTATTACTGAATTCCCGTGGGTTACAGGCATCCCAGGGATCCATATTCCAGTGGGTAGGGGAGTCAGAGGGAGGTCATTAAAAATAATCATTAGGATGGTGAATGATGCAAAGGAACTCCTTTGGGTGTACTTACAGTAAAGACAGCTCGCAAATTATGTAATCTGTCTATATCTTTAGGCAATCCTGAACTTGACCAGCGAACCAGGTAGTTTTCACTTGAAAACAAAAGAAATAAGAGCAAATTCACTTTCCAAATACAGCACGGCACGAAACAGACACCCACATTGATTTATGATTACCACCACGGAAGTCCACGATGCAGGCAACCACATGAGCTCAGAAATGTCAGCCACGCCACACAGAGCTGCTCTTCCATTAACATGTAAGTCATCTCCCACACAAGGTTAACAGTTGAGAACGGTCAGTACAAAACCCCTGAGAGGCTGTCATTTGGGATGTCTAGGGCTACAGTTGTAGTGGAACTATTTGCAAATGTCATTTCAAAGTTTATTATTTTAAAAGCACTACTAGTGTATTTAGACTGCCTATAATCTAAAATTCACCATTCATTCATTTATAGTATAAAAGAAATGCCGCACATCTATTTCATAGCCTATAATAACCAAATATGCCAAATACACAAATTGAATCCTAACAGGAAGCAATGAAGTCCGTATCAGAAATGATGAGGGGCGCCTGGGTGGCTCGGTCGTTAAGCGTCTGCCTTCGGCTCAGGTCATGATCCCAGGCTCCTGGGATCGAGCCCCGCGTCGGGCTCCCTGCTCCGCGGGAAGCCTGCTTCTCCCTCTCCCACTCCACCTGCTTGTGTTCCCTCTCTCGCTGTGCCTCTCTGTCAAATAAATAAATAAAATCTTTAAAAAAAAAAAAGAAAGAAAGAAAGAAATGAGGATGAAATTCATCCATTTGTTCTGTTTTCTGTCACATACTAACTTTTAAATTTTTGAATAATACAGGGGCGCCTGGGTGGCTCAGTAGGTTAAGCATCTGACTCCTGATTTTGGCTCAGGTCACGATCCCAAGGCCATGAGATCGCGCCTCACATCAGGCCGCGTGCCGAAGGTGGAGTCCGCCGAGACCCTCTCTCACTCTCCCTGCCCTTCCCCACCTTGAGTGCACGTGAGCTCTCTTAAAAAAAAAAAATTGAATACAAACGAAGGTATTTCAGTTTTAAACCCATACACACACCCAGACACACTTCACACATAATTTAAACCTCAGTTTTTCCATCCGAACAAAGAGAAACTTATACTGAGACAAAAGCAAGAACTAGGAAAGAGACCACATTACAAATGACAGGAATGGCAGAGACGAGATTTATAATATTTTGTTCAACAAATATTAAGTGAGAGCCTTTATGTAGCAGGCACTGGTGTAGACACTACCTTCCAGCCAGTCGTGTTGCAGAAATAACAACAGGCCAAAGGACCGAAAATGACATTGACAAAAAACAAAAGTTTGGCAAAGCAAGATTAAGACAAGAGTGATACTATTGGGGGGGGTCTGGAAACATAAAACCCTATGAAGACAACATAGGAAACAATTAGTTCAATCTTTAGTCGCCAGGTCCCTAAAACATTACAAGACCAAAACTCTACATTCAAATACCCACGTGCGTGCAAGGAAGAAGAAAGCAGACACTGGCCCAGATCCCGAAACAGCACTGGGTTCAGCTCCTCACCCCAGTGCTCTCTGTGAGAGCAAGAACTGCCATGGTGCTAGCGCTGTTCTCCTAACACTAACCAGAGAGGAAAGGGCGGAGGAAGCAGGGAAGCGCCACTGACCTGATGAATTTGGACTCCACAGGGTCATAAAGAGACATGAGCACTTCGGCATCTTCTCCGATTTTACAAACCACATTTTTGAGGTTGACAAACAAGGCCAGAGAAGGGGTGGCAGCAAACTTCGCTTGTCTGTTAATGTCTATGTTCTGCTTTTGGGACTACGTAAGTAGAAAAAAAACAGAGTGGACATCAGCGATATTTACCACTAACCCTCGCTTTCTTTCTTCTCAACAGAAGAGGAAACTATGTGCAACCAGTTGGCATAACACAGCAAAGCCTCAAGTCACTTCCTTGTCCCACGTAAAGTTCTCAACACATGCAGGCACCCAGCTGAAAGTAATTATGTCCTCTGCAAAGGTCACAATCCCTTAAGAGTTTGTCCTGAGTCCTGTCTTCAGATACTCGAGTGTCTACGCAATCACAACGGTGTTTACATGCATACTTGCTTAATTTTTGTTTCTGCATTAGGCTAAATCCTCCGAGGACATTTCTGTCTTACTCATCCTTATGTCCTCAGTAGGTGGCACACAGCAGGTGCCCAATAAAGACTTGCTGAATGAATGGCTGACTCAATGAATTGATTTCTGAATATCTGCTATACAGAAGATCCCATTAAAGACCAGGGAAGATGGGGCGCCTGGGTGGCTCAGTCGTTAGGTGTGTCTGCCTTCGGCTCAGGTCACGATCCCAGGGTCCTGGGATCGAGCCCCGCATCCGGCTCCCTGCTCAGCGGGAAGCCCGCTTCTCCCTCTCCTACTCCCCCTGCTTGTGTTCCCTCTCTCGCTGTGTCTCTCTCTGTCAAATAAAATAAAATAAAATAAAATAAATAAAATAAAATAAGACCAGGGAAGATGAAAAAGACCAATAAGACTTGTGTTCCCGACCCTCATCAAGCTTAGAATATGTCCCTCCCTGGGCTCCTGCAAAGGAAATGCAGAGTCAAGTACCGTTTCCCATGACATGAGAACACAAAGTCAGTGTCATTAAGACCCTGCGTCCTACAGTGAAGTAAGTACCGCGTGACCCTCCCCCCACACAGGATGAGCTCCTTTCCAAAGTCCTCAACAGCAAGTTCTGACACTGGGCTCCCTTCCATTCTTCACCGTATGAAATACACAGTTTAGCTGTGCTTTTTTGGGGTTTTCGAGTGCAAATTCTGAGTTCCACTGGTGTTTTGCTAGTGTTGAACGCAGTTATTGGGAAAAGATACTCCAAAGGTAAATGGAGAGCAGACCTCACCTTCTCTTCTTGCAATCTCTCCTCCACTTGCTTAGAAGCTATTTCATGAGCTCTAAAGAGACTAATCGTGCTAGTCAGTTCTGGATCCAAAATGTTCCCGTCTTCATCTCTCACCACCAAGTCCAGGTCAAGAATTCTACAACAACAAAAATTCAGAACTTCATGGACACACACCACGGCCTTTGAAGGTGTGTGTTACTAAGTACGATGTGAACAGCACGGAGAGTTGAAAGCACACACCTACTATATATGTTTGGGGGAAGGGTACACGTACACACACACACACACACACACACACACACACACACACACACACGCAATGACATACAAACCCACGTGCCCAAATACTTAAAACTGGTAGCTGTGACATCATCACTGAGCTGGGCAGAAGAGGGTGGAAGAGCTGGAGCGGAGGCATACCCACCATTCTATTCTGGTAAGTTTTATATCACACAGCTTTCCTTCTACCTACAGTCAGTTCTAATCCCCAGTTAGCCCATCAGAAGATCTTCGATAAAGACATTCTATTGTGTTTCGACAACAAACATGTGGAAGTTATCCACAATAACATTAAGCAACTTTCTGGCCAGATGGCTAGATGAAGTAGCCAACTTAAAACACGAGTAGCATCTGTAATAGATCTGTCCATCTATATCTGGAAACATCTTTTTGGCAACATTCTCTCTGTTTCCCCAAATCCAACAAAATTTTAAGGTGATTTTTAGCACAATTTTTATTTAAAGAATAAACAAAGACCATTATGCAAAGAAAGAAACCAGGAGCTGTGCTATGTGATGTGTTATGGTTTTCTTTTTAATAAGATAACGAGGATCTTAACCACAGATGCCTTATACTTTGCCTTTGGGATTTTCTTCCTGCGATTAACAAGTCTACAGAAGCAGGAAATTTTCGGGGTTTTTTTAAACCATACGGCAATGTAAAGAGTCTGTTGAAAGAAAGATAAATTTCAATTAAATAATGCCTTTAACAGTTATAGTTTTAAGAGGAAAGTTGACTTGGTAATAAAGACTCCAACCAGACAAACTCATCTCTGATTTCTCTTCTCTGAAGGTCACACACCTTAACACTGGATAGGAGTCTGATACCGTGTCAAGCAGGACCATTCTGATAGATATGCTGGGCCATCGCACCATTTGGAAGGCGGTCACAAAGACCTTGTTTTTCCCTCTGAGTATCTATTGAGCAAATCCACTGATGGTGAAGCAGAAGCAACATGTCAGCAACATGAGGCTTTCAAACAAATACAGGCTTTTCGCTCGGCATGAAAACAGCCTCCGTAGTTGCAATGATTGTGGGGTGCCTCAAGAGGACAGAAAGATATTTAAAAAAAAAAAAAAAAGGCTTTCGGGCTCTCATCAATTGTCATTGTAACATGTTTCACTAATGAGGTAAAGCCCCTCTCCCAAATATTACTGCTCATCCAAACCCTGAACCTGTCCCCGGGAGGAGTCAGTGCTGGTATAGGTGGGGGTCAATGCTGGTGTGGGTGAAGTCAATGCTAACGAGGTAGGGAGAGAATCCCTTCTTGCATGGGCAGAGCCAGGGCTGGTTGAAGTTGATCTACAAAGTACCTGGCTTTAGGGGGAGGGGCCAGAGGTCCTGAATGCCACACCACATCAGGCTCCCTGAGGAGCCGAGGCCCAGGCTATATGTACCAGCTGCATGCATCCTGCCAGGTGCACCTCCCCTCACTCCTTCCAGGACAGGTGCTCAGACCCATTTCGCAAAAGAAGAAACCTAAGCTCAGAGACACATCTAGAAGAACCCAGAGCCTGGATTCTGAGCCAGAACCCTCTCACGGCAGAGTCGAGGCTCTTTCCAGAATGTTACATGGAAAATGGTACAGGAAGTCACCTGTCAGGGGTCTTCTTCATGCCAACCATTCTGCGTTTTCTCAGCAACAGTGCTCATAAGGCTCTGAATCCACAGTGAGCTTCCACTATGACGGTAGATCTTAGCACAGCAAGAGGGCCAAAGACTGTCTTATTAAGGACTGTATTTCCAACGAAAGTGTAAATAATGTTTTGGAACACTTCCTTTCTTAACTAGATTGTTCCATGACATAATGTACTTTGGTTGCTTCCCACAGGCAAATTAAGCAGGTGGTTTCTGAATGGAAGTTTACTCCAATAGAAAACAGAATAAAAGCTCCAAAGGTTTGTTTTTTTTTAAGCAGGTCCTCATGAAATGGGTTTCCCTGCAACAATGTCTAATATCCTCCACACAGAAGTCTCTGACTTTTTTTGGGGGGGGGCCGGAAGAGACACCTTCTCCTGTACCCTTTTTAATCCAAATACTATATCTAACTAATAACGTTGTTTTTAGAAACTCTTCACACTTGAAAGGATGAAGTATTAGAAAACAAAATGATGTTATAATTCTGATTTTACAGAAAGGTTCTTTAGTTTACCCAGGGCGCCTTTCAGCTGAACAGCTGGGGACAAACCTCTCCCATTCTCTGAGCATGCTGTCCTAATGTGTAAAATGAGAGGTTCCGATTCTCCCAGAAGTTCCCCAATCTGCTATCCAGCATGGTCCAACCCTGTTTTTTAAAAACTGCGATTTCCAGCCAGCATTCCACATCTTAGAAATCAGAATCTTCAGGAGAGGGTCCCATAATTGCATATTTTGAAAGCTCTCTAAGTGATTCTGATACAGACCAGCATGTGGGAATCATGTGACCAGATCATTTTTAAAGGCTTCTTGCAGCTCTGACATTACAGGAACAACCAAATAGTTATCCCGTGGGAAAGGGCGTGGCCTCACTCCGGTTACAGACTTGGCAGAATCATAATGAAGCAGTCTGCTCCTGCTCAGCATCCGGACGCCTTGCGAAGGGTAGAACGCACAGCGCTGCTAAAGGCATGCAAGCAGAGCTGAGTGGAGGCCTGCTGTAGATGGGAACTTTTGCAAAAGACATCCTTACACAAAGCAAATTATTTGTTGTTTATCTGAGATTCAGATTTCTGGTGATAAGTTTCAAGGTGACCTTTGATGTCCCTTCCAACTCTTAGAACTTAGGATTCCACAAGGCAACCTGGTGCTTGTTATTGCACAAAGTACTACCCGTGTCTGGACTCGAAGTCAAGTACTGTGAGCAGAAAATAACTAAAAGTCCCTTGTCAGGGGAAATCACGGCAGTGTCACCTATGGAAGAGTGAAAATGACAGGTCACCCTGACCCCAGCTTCTCGGAGACAGGAACAGGTTTCGACAATGACTGTGAAAACTCCTGATTCTTAGAATCCAATAGAAAATAACCTATCCTTTTAAAAATGAAAACTATACCCTTACTTTGATGTTAGAAATTGTTTTATGATAAAATATGATTTTAACCTCCTCAAGGCTTATGGTAATGTTATTATACTGGGTAACTTAAGCATGAAATCATCTTTCAAATAAACAAACCTGTTTCCGTAATCAATTTTGGCAGTGACCTTCTTCTTCAGTTCTTTCAGCTCATCCTGTGGCAGAGTTCCAGAAAGAATCTGTGACCGCCATTCAATAAGGTCGTAGATCATGTGCCGCACACTGCGAAACATCTCCCTATTGTCTTGCTATAGAGAGGGGAGAAAAGGCATGTATGAAGATTTTGGTAGGAAAAAACACTGTGGATTGTTTTTCAAATACACATGTAGTATATGCTTTATATGATGGGATTCAATCAATGTCAAAAGCATGAAACAGGAACACGATATGGAGCCTGTCTCGTATCAGGCCCTAAAAGATCAAAGGGATAAGAAGTAACGCAAAATCCTCAATATTCCTTCCAACGTTCCAGAGCATGTGTCCCTGAACAGAGAGGTGAACCAGAGCACAATATGGATGTGGAGCCGCAAACCGAGCCCATGAACTTCTAGTCCGTGGCCCACAGACGGGCTACCCTGAAACTCCCACAGAGTAAGTGTGAGTCTAAAGATCTTGCCATGGAGGGGCACCTGGGCGGCTCAGTGGGTTAAGCGTCTGCCTTTGGCTCAGATCATGATCCCGAGGTCCTGGGATCGAGCCCCGCATCGGGCTCCCTGCTCAGTGGGGAGTCTGCTTCTCCCTCTCCTTCTGCCTGCCTCTCTGCCTACTTGTGCTCTCTCTGTCAAAAAAAAAAAAAAAAATATTAAAAAAAAAAAAAAAAAAAAACCTTGCCATGGAATCTTCAATATTTTGAAAACTGTGCCCTGTGCCATTCTCAGCACACCAGGCAACTGACCGCCAGGGCGTATTGGCAGCCAAGCTGCAGGGAACCCCACGCACTGTGCTTCATTCGGCGCATATAGAGCAGTTCTGCCAGGAGTAAAATCTGAATCTGCAAGCTCTCGGTGCATTTACATCAAAAGGAAAACACAAATTCACATTTTTATCGTTTTCTACATATTTTGAAGGGGTTGATGGTACAAAAAAAAAAAAAAAGGGCAACAGTTTTGCAACAGCCAAGAAATCAATTCATCAAGGAAATTAGGGACTGCCCCCTAACTCCTAAAAGAAGCCACTGGTTCCTTCCATGAAAAGACATCTAGGAGACACTTAATTTGATAAAATTCTAAACATGGTCCCTACATATATATTAAAACATGGCCATTGTTACTTTTGAAAATAACTTTTGCTCTACATATTTGACCCTCTCATCCCACTATTTCTAGTACATGACCTTCTTTCTAGCAATTTCTAAGATCCCCACCCCCAACCTGTCAGAGAACACCCCAGCAGACTATCCTGTACCGCACAAGCTCCTCTTTATAGTATCATCCTAATGTTAATTTCTCAAAAAACAACTAAATGGTCAAAAGTAATGGTTTATTCCACAACTAGGTTTGTTTCCTCTTACTAATTCATTTTTCTAAAGCCTTATCAAATATCTAAACTTCGTAATATTGTTAACTTGTCTACAACCAGAGAGCATGGCAAAAAAACCAACTCACAGAAAAATACTGTAAGGAATTTTTTTCTAGCTTTGTACAAATCCAACAATGTAAGTCCACAAGAGGCAAACCTGCATTTCTAAAAAGGAAACCAAGGTGATGGCTGGGCATGGCTACCCCCGGCCGGAAGGCTAGAGCCATGCCCACTAACGGATCAGTCAGCATCAGCCCTGTTTGTTTTGCTGCCATATTTTTGTTTAAAAATTGCTAAGTTGAACATGAAAGACCGACTACAAAATTGCTCAGATTTACACAAAACATTCATGGCTAACTTTACGCTTTTCGGTTTTTGAGAACATTTGATGACCAATTACTGCAACTGCTTATTACTGTGCATTTACAAGAAACCACTGTATAATCAAAAACAACAAGCCTGCCCAGGGAGCAGCTGTGGGACTTTTGCAAGTTTTCTGTGTTCCCAAGAAATCGATGCACTGACTCCTCTCCAGAGCCCTTGCTTTGTGCTGACAACATTAGCATATGAGAAATCAACACTCTGAATAGAAATACAGGCTTAACAAAAGGTAATCTTCTGCAAATATGAATTCATGTGCAAAGAAATGCCCCAAGGGAATAGGAAATGGAAGATGTCCGAGTCTCAACTTCCCTGCATTAATAAGGGTTCTTCCATGATTGGGAGAACTGGACAGTTGTACACGGAGCTGGAATGTAAATGACTTCCCCACCTCTGTAACAGGCACACTTAGGTCTAGAAGACTATGTAAGTCTTACTCAAACGATAAGAGACAGACGATGGCAAAAAAAATAAACAGCGACTGTTCTCTACTGCCTCCATAAATAAGCATCCATTACAGCTTAAGAGCAAATCTGAGTTTTCATGATCAAAATATAAACATTGGGGTTACATCCAATGCAGCCTGCTTAATCCTGTCTTCCAAAGCGCTCGAGCAGCCCATCTCCCATTCTGCACAAGGAGGGGGAACCCCTTTATCAGTGTTTTGTCACAGTGGGCATGGTCACACCCCAACACAAAGCAGGTCCAAGAGGACAAACAGCCCCCCAGGGTGGCCAGAACAGGCCATGTGGCCTTCTTCACCCTGAGCATGACTCAGTCCGGAAGTTCTGCTTTTGAGGTTCCCAGGGAAAAGAAAAGAAAAAAAAAAAACCCATTGGTACAGCAAGGTCCAAAAAGACCATTCTCTGTGTTTAAGCTCAGATTCAACGTCCCATTTTCTCACCACATAGAGCTGCCTCCAGATGGTGGACCACTCCCGGAGTGTTGTGGTGACTTCCTGTATGAGCGGGAGGTCGCCCGGGATGACCGTTTCATGTTGCCTAAGGGAAAAGAGGAAAGGACGGCCATGTTCATGGGTTTGTTAAAGTCTGCAAGTTGTACCTTGTAAATTCCAAATCTAGTCCACAGAATTAAATATTTAAGCAAACGGAGAGAAAATACACGAATAGGACTGTGTCCACAGATAGGAACACGCACACCTCTAAGAACGACAGGTAATATTTGTACAGAGCACGAGCGTGTTCACACCCTGCCCTACGTGTAAAGGGGTCTACCTCATACGTCACGGTAAAGAGGAAGGAGGCAAATAACATCCCATTGGAAGGCTTCAGAACGTCAAGGTCTGAGAGTACATTCATAATACGTGTACCCATCGATCTTATAGGTGCCATCAATCCTAGCCAGTATGTGTGGCATTAAAATGCAGGTTTGGGTGAAGATGATTTTTACATTTCCATCATGCATAAAAAACTCATTATATGATAATACAGAAAGCAGTTCTCCTTGGAGAAATATGAACAAGGCGGCAGCTCTCTCAAATGTCCGGAGGTACTCTGACATCCCAACACTCAGATTACCCTTTCCCTTTTCCCTGCACCCCAAGAGAGGTTAACCCCTGACTTATCCTAATTTTTTTTTCTTTTTTAAAGGTTTTCTTTATTTAATTGACAGAGAGAGAGAGACAGCGAGAGAGGGAACACAAGCAGGGGGAGTGGGAGAGGGAGAAGCAGGCTTCCCGCGGAGCAGGGAGCCCGATGTGGGGCTCGATCCCAGGACCCTGGGATCATGACCTGAGCCGAAGGCAGACGCTTAACCAACTGAGCCACCCAGGTGCCCCAACCCTGACTTATTCTTAACTTGCTATCTGTGTGTGTGTGTGTGTGTGTGTGTGTGTGTGTGTGTGTGTTTTAATCATATCAGCCCTTGTTTTCCAGTCACATGCTCTGCATCAGGCCCTGTGAGGAAGGACTCAGAATATTTGGGACTGAGGAAGAGACTGAAGGGAGGCTGGTGAAACTGGGCCACCTGGCCCCAGAATTCCCGAACAGACGGACTCCAACCAGCATGGAATGTGCACGGATTCTGAGATAGGTCCCACCCATGTATCTCGATCTGGCTGGAGCCTAGATCGGTGGACGGGACTCTTACTTGGGCTCACATTGGGGTTTAGGCCTGCAGTGACCCGCTGATGGTCGGGACTCCCCAAGGAAGGAACAGTGGAGTCCCTGAGAGAAGACCAGTCTCTGTGGACAGGTCTGGCCACATGCACCACCTGGAGCAGCAGGGACCAGATGTCTGAGGCAGGGGTCCGTATGGGACCACACCCCACGAAACTGTTTTTAGGAATTCCCCTGTGACGGGACATCATCAGTGTCTATTACAGAATATGGTTGTTACAGCAGTCCTGCCAAGTCTGTCACCGAGGTTCCCAGTAAGGGTGCTGATGAATATGGGGTTCCTTACACTCTGCAATGCCATCCTTAGAAAGCCTCTTGGCGGGGGGGAGGTTGGGGTGGATTTCTCTTCTCTCAACAACTGGGATGTTTCCATCCTCCAAATCCTGAGTTTCATGCTGAATCCACTGGGCTCTTCCACTGGTGATCAGAAACTCGGAGCTCAATTAGACAACCCTGCTTCCACCACATATACAGGGCCTCACTGCTCATGCCGGGTCCTGGTCTTGGTTCTGCATCCTTCTCACTGTCTTCCTCTCCGTAGGCCTGATCTGTCCCTGGAACGAACGCGCCGACTGGCTCTAACGTACCTGCTCTGGCTTTGTTGTATTATGTCTGTAACCACCTCGTTACCTGCAAGGGGTCAGCAAGGTACAAAGCCAACAGCAGCTTTCTCACAGGGTTGTCGGTAAGACCTACGGAAAGAACACCACGCGGGGCGTGGAAGATTGGGCAGGGCACAGCAGGCACCCAGCCAGTGGCGGCGGCTCCATCCCAGGACCCTGGGACCGTGACCTGAGCCGAAGATTACCTGGCTCTAGGTGATCCAGCCAGACTTCAAGGACAGTCAGGGCTGGAGGCCCCGATCCGAGCATCACCCACAGAGAGGAAACAAAACAACACAGGCCGTGTCAAACGGAGGGGTAACCCAGGGCTAGGAGAAGGGCAAGGAGAGCCCCCTGGGAGTAGTGGGCAGGGGGGAAATAGGCTGGGAAGCAACAGAAATGATATGAAAGCATCAGAATAGACAAGGGGCTCCAGTGAAGGGGACAGCCACCGGCGTCCAACACTGCAGGAAAGCACCAGAAGAGCAGCCCTGAGAAGACACTGGAAGCCCAGAAACAAGAGGCACTGGTAGCCACGGGAGCATGGGAGAGCGGACAAATGGGAACTGCCTTGGGTATGGGGGAAAAGGCAGAGAATCGGCGACAGCCGGCACACAGCAATGATGTGGGATGTCTAAGAGTGAATGGGGTACAGAAACAGGAAACCCTGCAAGAGAGACGGGGTAATGACGTTGGAGAGCAAGGGAGCAGGTGGGGGTGGGATGACAGAGCGACCTGCCATGGAAAGGAGGAAGGACCGCAGGGAGGGGAGGTCAAGGTCCACAATCTCCGGAGGAAAGGAGGAGCGCTGAGACCACCTGTCAAGCCTGAAGGCAGGAGGGTCTTTGCAAGAAGGGAGACAGAAGGCAGCTGGGCATGGGTGGGAGAGCAGGAGGGAGGCAGGACCAGAGGAGCAGCGTGGGGAGCAAACACAGCGAGCCCCAAAGCAACGGCAGAGAAACTGTTTCTTAACTGCTTCTGTCCCTGGTGCGCCAATCACTCGCTAACTCTGGGGCATCTCCCACGAGCCCCAGGAACAGGAGTCAATCTGTCTGTCTGTGTGGGTGTGACTCCACTCACTGAGAATCAAAATAATCTCTAGTTCACTTTACTATTATGCTTCATAATTACATTCTCCATATATTCTTTTGTATACTCACAGTGCTTTTTTTATAAAAATTAATCAGTCTGACTTCTCTATTGATTCCGATACAGACAGATGTCAAATACATTCAATGCATACTTCGTTTCATTATATCTACAAGAGTCAAAACTTCCCTTTTTTCCTTCCCTTTAAAACTCTGCACACAACACATTTTATCTATATTAAAAAATTCCGTATTACAGGTCATCCCTATCTATGCCTCTAAGTTATTTTCTTCATTTTAATTATGCATCATGCAACTACAGAACCCAAGCTAGTCCTTTTCATATGTTAAAAGTATAGTGCTTGGAAAGGCAATTTTGTAATCAGCCAGAGATGTCATTATGCAGTAATCATATGATTAGTAATTTTATAATTTACATATTTAACGGAGGGTGAAGATGTAGAAGAGACAAAAAAGGAAAACATTTTAATGCTCCTTCTTCCAAGTTCACACCTGGCTATTCATTTGCCATTCCTGCCTAATGGGTTCTCGTTCTATAAAAGTCCTTTTAATGATCTTATACATCAGTTTTATGACCTCTAAGAAACATACATCACAATTAGACAAAATGTAAATTCACACACATCCCAATTTACCAACTGTTGCTTCACCCTAAACTCCATTTGTGTCATAGCCTTCAAAGTTTTCCAGAAAAACGGACTCAGAGCTGGGGGGCTGGAGCCTCTCTACCCAACGTGATCACTCGCAGACAAGCACAGAAGCACTGGGCCCGTGCTACCCAAAATCAGCACTGAGTCAAAGGAGCACGGCTGCAAGCCCAGTGCTGACTTCAGACTTTTCGAAGGTCCAAAGCCATGTTGTCCACACGTCTCCATCCCGAGCCCCCTTTCTCTGCCCAGAACTCCTGCCCCATCACAGTCACTCACACCCACATCCAACCTCCTAACAGGCCCTGCCATATGCATGAGCAGCAAAGCCAAATACAATCACCGTGTTTCTTCATTTAAACATTAAAACCAGACTCACCCTTTTCCTTCAACTATGGCTTCTTTAAGATGAATATATGAGGCAGGAAATATACCCTATGGGAGTAAGAAAAAAAAAAAGTAATTTCATTATCAACTTGAAAACCAACCGAAAATCAAAAACCACACTGACAAGGTGAGGGGAGGGATGGCTGGATCGCTATTAATTCTGCAAGCCTCATGGTAGGTCTCACATACAACACAGCAGGGCGAACAGGAAGTATAAACTCAGCCTGCTTGTATTTCTCGGAGACTACAGATGTCTCTGAAGAAAACAGAAGCGATCCGTGTGCAAGGAAAAAAGGGCTCAGGGCTGTCCTGTGTCTTCCCCACAGGACACACCTCGGGTCCGCTGATGCCCTTGACTCGGGCAGCTCCGAAGCCTGCAGATGCCTAAAAACAATTTCTGATGATGGTCTCTGACAGTTCCCTCTTTCAAGCAAAGCTAAAATGGCCATGGAAAGTTGATTTCCACCATTTATCATCACGTAAGCATGTAGGACTACTTACCTGACCCACAGATTCTCATCAATCTCCCAACTGAGGGGCCATCTGAGAAAATACAGCAAGTGGGCAAATTTCGCCCAGTCCGCACGACTACCAGACACCAGTTTCCGTTAACCCGGCGCTCTGCATTCCCCAAGTGCGGCACGCACAGGGGCTTAGCAGCACGGTGTCTGAGGGAGCATTTCTCAAGTGCAAGTTCAGTGTCAGGTGCAGTCCTCGAAGTGCTAGGAGCTTTACCAAGACTTGCTGTCCTGCTTCCTGAGCAAACAAAATAGCCGCCTCTCTGGTGTGAGGCAGAAACGAGCACCTGAAAGCGGGGAGTGGGGCAAGAGGTGCTGGGACCCGGGGCTGCACAGCACAGCCGGATAGGGTTTCCCGTGTGAGATATAGCTCATGCAGCAGGAATTTACTCAGCAGCCCTGGTGGTTTCCAGGCACCTGTCGTGTGAACAGGAGCTTCTGACTGCGTTTCCCTGGCATCTGGACCCAAAGGATTTACACAGGAAGACCAGTAACCACAGCTACTAATTGTGTTTGGGAGGGGCACGGGCACCACGGACTCAAGCTCCTTCTGCCTAGAGGAAAGCCGGAATTTCACATAAAGAATTATCACAGAGGTGGCAGCAGTCGGATAGAAAGACAGTGGCCGAGCAAGAAATCAGACCAAAGGGCCCCAAGGCTGGGAGTTCCACCAGGTCCCTGTTGTTCAGGACACCCCCAAGCCCCAGGATGCCTCCAGGAGCGCAGGTGATGTTAACGCGTGCACACGGATGGAGGCAGGAAGACGACAAACAAGCCAGCCTCCCCCGTGTCCACAGACACCCCAGGATCTCAGTACACCTGCTCCCGGGCACCAACAAGCCACAGAGGGAGGAGTGGAAAGCAGGGAGGGGACACACGTGGAGGCTTGAAACGAGCAATCGCTCCAGCCGGGGTCGTTCAAAACCAGTCCAGACAAACTACGTCTGTGTGCATAGCTAGACAAAGGATGGTTCCAGAACACTTGGGAGTCTGGATGACTGGAGGCCAAGTCCCTTCTCTGCACTGCCTGGAGGGGCCCACTACAAAATCATACTATCTTTAAAGGCTTCACAACTGCCTCGTCTTCCAGTGAGGATTTCAGAAGAAAAAATGCAGCTCAAGCAGGGCCCTTCGTAAATGACGGCTACAAAGGACGAACAGCTCCCACCTGTCCAGCAGGGCCCGGCTGCGGGGTTTCTGGGGGAAACAGGGCAGGCAGGTCCTGTGCTTGAGCCGCTGGACTTTGGAAGCCTTAAGTTACAGGCTCAGGACCACATGAGGAGTCCAGCCCAATAAGGAGATCATGAGAGGCAGAGTTAAGAAACAGGAGTAAAACGAACCTTCTGTCAAGCATACGTAGATATTAAAGTGTGTGAGTTAACGTGGACAGAGCCTAATCACAGCTTAGAATGCACATTATTTCAAAATCGTAGAATGAAACCAGAGGGCCATAATTAGGTTTTGTGAAGCTAAAAACGGAAAAGCCACAACAGAACTGTGTCAGGGAGGGTCCACCACAAGGATCGAGGTGTAATTGCAGGTCTTGGCTTCAGGAGTTCAAAGAACCACACACGCAAACGGCCCTGGAAAGCAGAAATTTTCTTTCGCTGAGCAACTCGGGCAGTTTAAAATAGTTCTACGCAAGAGGAAAACAAGCATGCATGTTGCAAATCTGTTGTCATCAAGGATAACGTAAGACCCAAAATCATAAGCATTAATTTTTTTTTCTGAAGTCATTACAGCCGGGTCCTTCTCCCCCACCTCCTGTGCTTAAAGAAGATGTGTGACATTCTACCAGGAAGAGAAGTGCGCCTTTCGTGACGACAGGTCAGCACGGCGCCCCAGCCCAGCAGCTGCAGAACGGAAGCAGAGCAGTTCTTTCTGTGCACGTGTATTGTCCACAAGAAAACAATGCAGGGCGGCCCACACGCCAGCCCACGCATTTGCTAAGTTCAGAGAAAGAGATATACTGGGAAAACTGCAGACACCCATGGGATGGGAATGATTTCCTCTCACGGTGTGACGAATGAACGGAAATGCACTGGGGTTCAGAGAAGAGGACTTACCTTCTTGGACTTTTTTCTCAAGGTGTAACCTCTGTACCACCCTAAACAAACACAAAGTTGCAACAGTTAGAAGGTGGGAGACATCACAGGGCCCCTCACAATACCTCCCTGTCCTGGAGAATTCATTGCTTTGCAGAACCAGGGAAATCGGTCTGTCACCAGAATTCAGTAATCCTAAGAGGGTGGAAATATACTAGAAGGTTCCAGAGAGTACATCTCAAATCGGCCTGGCTGGTGACCTTCCCAAACACTTTTCCATCGGCCGCTGGAGGCCCTGAAGCCGTCAATTTGAAGTTCGGCAGCACCGCCCCATGAGGAAACGTCGTCCTTTTGACCATTCATCACGGAGAGGGCTCCCTGGGTATCCATTTCCCTATCTCTCCCTCCAAGTGACTTGACTAGGGGTCACTGCCAAGTGCACATACCAAATCTCCAGATCATCAAGAACTGCCCCACAACAGAGGACCTATTGAGCGCTAACTTCCTCCCTCCTCAACCCGGACACGCTGTGCCCCGGAGCAGCTGTGATTTCACACAGTGTGTCTGTGGCAGAGACTCAGCCCCCCACAGGAAGCGCCAGGCCCAGGAACATGGGCCCACCTAGCCCTGGGGGTTGGCCTAGACTCAAGTTCCCGTTGCCTCCAAGAGGGGAGGAAGCTGAAGACAGGCACGCTACAATGTTAGCATGATGTAAGTGGTAAGTGGAAGGGGCCAGTCAACGGCAGAGCAGCTCTGACCACAGCCTTGGCCCCTCCCCGAGAGCCGAGGGCAGAAATGATCCCTGTAGATGCCCTGTGGGTACATGGGCCCAGTCACCAGCCTCCGGACAGCCCCATCCCCCACGACGGCCAGCCGTGGACGCTTCTTTACCCCAAAGGCTCTCAAGTCTCCCTGGCCACCCTGCTCAGGGAAAGTGAATCCAAAGCTCAGAAAAATTCTAACTCTGCCCACAGGACCAAAAGAACCAGGTCAGAGAATTACAGGAGTGCTCAGAGAGCGCAGGTTGGGTAAATTCCCAGAGAATAACCAATTAGGCTCTTACACAGTATCAGAAAGTCAAAGCTCAGAAGCGAGCAATGTCTGAGTGAGCTCGGAATATTGGCACAAGGACAGAACCCTCTTAAACAGCAATCATGTTACCAACCAGAGGTGAGGAGGACGATCACAGACCAGGAAGGGATGGGGTAGAAATGAGCAAAGTCCTCAAGGGGTTATTAAGAGATGCTCTCCAAGCATTCAGAACCGGAGATGGACATTCCCAAGACCCTTGCAAAGGATTTGCTAAGACCGAGCGGCGACTGCTTGGCTCTCCTAACAAAGGGGCTCAGCAGATCAACCGGGGACACTGCAGACACAGAGTGTCTCGAGTTCAGTCGAACATGTGGAGGATCATCTCCAGAGAGCCACACTGTCTACTTCACTGGTTTCTGCGCCTGGCCCAGAATCTGTGCCCATCTAGGGCAGCATTCCCAGGCAGTGAAATGGAGAAAGAGGGGAGGTCTATGCAGTTCCCGGCCTACATCTAGAGCCAAATAAAGGCTGTATTTATTCAAGTTTAAGGACAGTCTTCTATGCCATCATTATAACCTTTCCACGTCTTCATTATTAACATGCCCTTTCGTTTCTGAAACTGACAAGGGATGAAATGTTCTAGAACATATAAGGAAAGACTGCCCAGTGACAAGTAAAAGACAGAAACCAAGTAAAAAACCAAGTAAAAACCAAGACAGAAACCAAAAAAAAAAAAAAAAAAAAAACCACACTTATCAACAGTGTATCGAAGGAAGCCAAGCATTTACCCACCTATGAAGAGAGTGCTCGAACTTAAAGAAAATTAGACACAATTTTACTGCACAAACTTCAGTGGTAAAAACTGTAATGCTGCAGGCTATGGGCAGCCCTGGGTGGTGGGGAAGAGCGGAGCCTGCAGCAACCGAATGGGAGCGGCCATCCCTACTTATCCAAAGTATCTGGCCCCACAGCCTGCAACCAGTAACCCCCATCCTGGGAATGCATCCCTGGGAAAGAAGTGCACGCGCCCATCCATGCACGGCGGGACAGCCACAGAATGCCCATGGCAGCATGACGTAGGGGGGTGCACGTGGAGGAGATCTGAGTGCCCAGAACCGAGAAGGCTATCAGCAAAACACGCGGCGTGTGCGCACACAGCAGTGGGAGCCGTGAACTAAACATATACTAAAAATAAACAGGAGTGCATCTTAGAACACAGCACTGAATAAAAAAGAAACAGAACGAGAGCTACACCCACATTTATACACATGAAAAATACATGCATGCCAAACAGTACAAGAACACAGGTGAACAAAAAAATCCCACATTTATATACATGAAAAATACGTGCATGCCAAACAGTACAAGAACACAGGTGAACAAAAAAATCCACTTCAAACACAGTAAAAGGGTTTTCGGTGGGAAGAGGGAGAAGAAAGGGGTGAGCCATGGGGATAAAAGGTAGTCTTTTTTTTTTTAATGTTATAATAATAGATGGAGTTTCTTTTTTAATTGCCTCACTAGGCAAAATGAAAACCTATTGTTTTCCTACCCAAGATTATTTGCATACATTACTCCTTCAACCCATGGAGCCCACACACTATGTGCCAGAGACTGCACTAGACAGAGCAAAACACAGAATGAAATGAAACCAAGTGTTCTGCCCTCCCTGAGCTCACAAATGGGAAGACCCCCCCCCTAAGACAAGCAGGGGCCAAACCATGTTGCAGGACAGAGACTTTAGCATGAAGGAGAGAGGACATCCCTGCATGGGTTTCTTGCAGGAGAGGGAAGGGATAGAAGAGAATGCAGGCCTGGCTGCTCTGAGGGGAACGAGCAAGAGGGAGGGGGGCTAGAAGCAGGAGGGCCCACAGTTAGTAGCACCATCTCCCAGGCAAGGCTCACGAGTGGTCTCCGTGGAGTCAACCAACCTAAGACACAGGCAGGTATGGGCAAGACACAGCCCGGAAACTCAGGGAGCACACAGGCCAGCTCAGGAAAATGGCAACCAAGTCAGCGAGTCCCATACGGTGTCCCTAGCAGAACAGGAGGAACACACACACTGGAGTCCAGGGACAATGCCACGGGCGGACAGGACCAGGCAGAGCAAAGGAGCTGGGAGGCAGGCAGGAAGGAGCTTCTGCCCAGACAGGTGTGCTTAGGCTGAGTCTTCAAGGAGGGCTCACTGTTAGTCAGATGGAGGAGGGAGGAGTCACGCTGGAGGAGGGAGGAGGCAGGGCAGCAGGTGGAGAGGTGAGCTCACTATGCCCTGAGAAACCATTAGCAGCGAGGCCGGTATATGCATGAGGAGGAAGCTGGAGTTTCTTCCAGGATGGACAGGTGAGGACACCACCAAGGTCCTGGGGTCGGCCCAGTTTACAAGGAGCTGCCTAAAGAAAGATGGATAGGACATTCCCTTATGTCAGGAGGATGGTGGCCTGCGCTCTGAGTACTGACGGCTAGAGAGCCAAAATCCAGATGCGACCAATCGTGTCCTGATGGACAGCATCCACATGCATAATGGGCCTTCTGGAGAAAAGAACCAGCAGGTGTCCTGTGTGTAACACGCTGCAGGCACCATGGGGGCAGACTCAGCCCTGAAGCCGGAGGCGCCGGCAGCAACATGACCGTCACTCTCAGGAAGACAGTACTCACAGCCACACGGCCCTTCCACTGGGCCAGGGCCAGGAGGCCAGTCACCGGCGACACGTTACAAAGAATGCTTGCCGAGTGGAGGCTGGGCTGGAGGGCTCGCTGGCCTCAGAAACAAGAACCTTATTAACGTGACTGCCTTTTCCAATCTGTCACGGGTTAAACTGTGTCCCTCAAAACAGACGTTGAAGTCCTCGCTCTACCTGTGAATGGGACCTTATCTGGAAATAAGGTCTCCACAGACGATCAGGTTAAAATGAGTTCATTACAGTGGGCCATGAACTAAAATGACTGGTGTCCTTAGATAAAGGGGAAGCAGACAGAGACACACACAGGGAGGCCGTCACATGAAGATGAACACAGAAATCAGGGTGTTGCATCTACAACCTAAACACTACCAAAAACTGTCGGCAAACACCAGAAGCTGGGGAGACACGAGGAACAGCTTCTCCCTCACAGCCCTGCCAGCGCCTTGATCTCGGACTACCAGCCTCCAGAACTGGGAGACAATACGCCTCTGCAGGTTAGGCCGCCCAGTGCGGTCTGTTGTTATAAAGGCCCCAAGAAACTCACACTGTCTCACAAGACCTTCCGTTGACAGATGCTGATGGCACAAAAAGGAAGTAAGGTGCATTTAAAAATTTGAACATACTCAGTTCCAGTGTAGTGGTTTAATCAAAAGAATAATTTCCTAATCTTTGTGCACTGACTACCAGCTCCCTGACATCCAGCGTCCAGCGCCCAAACAGCTGTGTGGAGATGAGCAGGCGGCAGGCCTCGCACATCCTCGGCCACTCGAGAATGACTTCTTAAACTGGGATCTCGGCTCACCTCTCCTGTCTGGTTGAATCTGGACACTGCTTAAAAGCAGGGGTGTGCCCTCAATGACCTCTCCAAGGTCCTTCCACCCCCACACTGCTTACCCTTTATTCTCTGCTCCAGGCCTTCATGAGCCTGAGAGAGAGAAATTAACCATAACTTAAAGGTAAATTTGTTCTTTGAACTTCACTATAAAGAGCGATCACCCAGAATTTATATTCTCTGCAGAAAGCCAAGTAATATCCTGAAAAGGATCACACAGAAAAAGAAAATTAAATTTGACCAACAGAAATACATTTTCTTAGAGGAAACGTAGGAGGGGAGAGGAGGAAAGAGAAAAAAAAAAAAAATGCCAAACTCAAATATGATCCGTGAAACCAAAATAGAACAAAAGGAAAGAGCAGAAAAACAATTATTCCATTTTTATTTGATGAATAAAGACACCAAGTTTCCCAAAGTCAAAACTACTTCCCCAAACGCATTTCTCTGATCAGATTCTCATTAAAACCAAAATGATAGTTGTCAAAGAAAAGGAATTTGTTTTGTGTTAAAGGGTCTTTACAGAGACTGGAATATTTTAATCAGAATCTCGAAGCCTGACTAGCCCCAAAACGAAATGCTCACTGAAGAAGCTTTTACCAGGATGCTCACTATCCAATTTTTTTAAGTCAAATGTACAGCAAGGATCACTAGCTCGTGATAGGATCCCACTGTTTGAGTACATTCTTCTTAGGAAGCAAAGAACAAGAGGTGGCAGTCCCCACATACCCAGGCCGACCAGAAATTGCTATCTATTGAGGAATGACGTCACTGCCCAGTGTTTATTAACCAGGATTTCAACTTCAACTGAGTGGGGGCAAACAAAGAAGATGTGAGAGCATTTTTCCCTTCAGATCAGTAAAGTGTCTGAGATGAGAGGTTTGATCCTTAACCTCTACTTAATTTCTCCCTGTTTCCTCTCAAACATTGGCAATACATACTGAGAGCAGATAAGGCAATCCAACTGTCAGCTATAAAAGCTGAAAACAAGCAGAAGGCACCCACCACAACTACTCATTCACTTAAGGACAGGGTCTGTTTTCGAAGAGTTACATCTGCTTCCAGGCATACGCCACTAAAGCTGATTTTTTTTTTTCCCCAGTAGGAAGATTTTAGGGTCAAAGATGCAAATGGACTGGAATTCTAAGTCCGCGTGCGTCCCAAGGGGAACTGAGGGACATGGCCATGGGTGTTGTAATAGGTTCATGCTTCCCGGAGGTGTCTGGGAGGGGCACTGGAGCAAGCTGCAGCCTGCCCAGTGCACGGAGGCTCACGTCCGCTTCACTCTTGTGCAAATCTCACAGACGGAGGCTGAGGTCCGGGTTGCCGATCGCTGTGGGACAGCTTCGATCTCCTCTCCCACGCTCACCACCTGCCGGAAGGGTTTAGCTAAACCCACTCTAAAAGCAATTCTTCTATTGAAATGATCCATTTTCATCGGTTCTTTTCATTCATCGGCTATATGGGAGTCACCCCTCCAAGGAGGAAATAAAACCACCAACGCTAATTACACAATTTTACAGCATTTCTAGATCTGAGGAGTCTCAGAAATCAAGCCCATCATGGCTTCCCTTCTGTGCCACAATAACCACAGAGTAAAAGGAAGGGTGGGCCGTTCTAGCGATATCCAAAACACTAAATATAAAAACCAATTGTGTGGGGCGCCTGGGTGGCTCAGTCCATTAAGCAGCTGCCTTCAGCTCAGGTCATGATCTTGAGGTCCTGGGATCAAGTCCCGCATCGGGCTCCCTGCTCAGCAAGGAGTCTGTTTCTCCCTCTCCCTCTGCTCCCCTCACTTCGTGTGTTCTCCCTCTCTCAAATAAATAAATAAAATCTTTAAAAAAAAAAAAAAACCTAATTGTGTGAAAATCCAAGGACACTGAAAAACTACTATCACGGTAGTATTTACTGGATTTCTAATCTTTTGGGTTTGCTTTGAGGGCCCACGTCCCACATAGCTGTAACAATGCCTGTTCACCCTTAAGAAAATGGGGTCAAAGAAAAAGAGAAATAGTTTTGGTTCCTTTCTTAACAAATCTAAGTGAGAACATAACAAGTCTCACCGTTCACATCAAACACATCAAAACAGTGACTTAACAAGAAAATATCTTAAATGTATTTTTTTCCCCTAGCATTTCAAGCGGTCAGTTATTCACAGTCAAGATTCACATACATTTGCAACAAAGGAACCAATGTGTTCTGTTGTTTTTAATGAAAACAGCTATTTCCACAGAAAACTTTAGAGGTGAAAAATTGGAATTTTTAGTGTTAATTTCATCTTAATCAAGTATTACTTAAACAATGAAGAGCCTCACGACTGCCCTCACTGGAAAGGGCATCCATCATGTAGGAAGATGGATCATATGCACAAGACTCATGATGACACATACTTCTGAAACACTGAGAACATGTGCTAACTGCCCAAAACAGGAAGAGAAAGACACCAATGGTATACGTTACCTTCGTATGTTTCCAAGATGTGCACAGTGTCTCCTATTTGTAAAGAAAGTTCATCCGCTCCCCTGGCATCATAGTTATAAAACGCTGCGAAGGAGAAGAGAGGTAAGGAGACATTAGTGGAGGTAGAAGTGACTTTGCTGGCTTGTTTCTGCTTGTTTTTAATGGTGAAATACATTCAGTCTCTGCCTGAATCGCCTCTCTGACATCCACAAAGGTAGCCTTTTCTTTCAAGAGACAATTGTAAAGGGTCATCGACTAGAAGAAATTCAGAACACCATGCAATCGTGATTTTTTTTTTTTTAGTGTGGTCCCGAAGAGCCCCAGTGACCAACGCCGTGTGGGGCTGGCACAGAAGCAGACACACAGACCAAGAAAATAAACCGGAAATAAATCCACGCTCACGTGGTCAACATAGATGCTGTGAAATCTGCCATTTTCACCATCTTTAAGTGTCCAATGAGGGGGCAACCTTCGCTGCGATCGCCTCCCACAATGTTTTCATCCCTTCCACACAGTTAACTCCGTACCCACAGACCAGTAACCCCCATTCCCTCCCCACAGCCCCTGAAGACCTCTAGTCCACTTTCTGTCCCTATGAACAGGCCTGCTCTACCTGCCTCATAGAAACACATCAAACAGTGCTGCCCTTTTCCTATCTGGTCTCTTTAACACGATGCTTTAAGGTTCATGCGTGCTGTATCATGTATCAGAACTTTATTCCTTTTTATGGCTGAATAAGGTTTGTAATAGGAAGAAAACTGATACTGTTACCATTTTAATTATCACTTCATATACTGTCTTATATTTCCATTAATAGATTTTTTTAATTAAATAATTACTTCCTTACTATGAATCAATTACATGTGGGATGAATTTTTTTTTAACTTAAAAAGATATATGCACCCCATGTTTATTACAGCATTTTGTAATAGGCAAGTTATGGGACCAGCCCAAGTGTCTATCAACAGATGAGTGGACAAAAATCTAGTATATATATACACAATGGAACACCACCCAACCATAAAAAGGAATGAGATATTGGTGGGCTGAATATTTTTTGGAAACCAACCTGATTTTTAAAATTATCATATAATCAAAAATTAATTAAAAATAAAATCAAAATAATCATATAACCAATGCTGATATTAAGCCAAAAGGCTACAGTACAATCAAATGGCAAAAATATGTCCAACATTAAGAAGAAATTCTGAAAACTGGCAATACTCAACAAATCTCTAAAATCCCTAATGTGTATCCTGACATAAAGCAGTTCCTATTCCTTTCAGATAAGCACCCAAAAAGTCTTACCATTAAATGCCAACCGCACTTTTGCTCAAACATGATGAGATAAAGGTAACCATCACAATGGAAAAGGGGCATTAGAAAGCGTTTAAGATGCCAAAATGACTGAAGTAGCCCACTCTCTTAAAAAAAAAAAAAAAAAGAAAATACTTGAGAAAGAAGAGCAGAGCTGGAGGCATCACATCCTAGATTTCAAACTATACTATGAAGCTATAGTCATCAAAAGAGTATGATGCTGGCACAAAAACAGAGACATAGGTCCATGGAACAGGACAGAGAGCCCAGAAATAAATCCATGCTTATATGGTCAATTAACCAACAACAAAGGAAGCAAGAATATGCAATGGGAAAAGGACAGTCTCTTCAACAAATGGCACTGGGAGGGAAAACTGGACAGCTACATGTAAAAGAATGAAACTGGACCACTTTCTGGCACCACAGGCAAAAATAAACTCAAAATGGATTAAGGACTGGGGCACCTGGGTGGCTCAGTCGGTTAAGCATCTGCCTTCGGCTCAGGTCATGATCCCAGGGTCCTGGGATCAAGTCTTGCATCGGGCTTCCCGCTCAGCGGGGAGCCTGCTTCTCCCTCTCCCTTTGCCTGTCGCTCCCCCGCTTGCGCTCTCTCTCTCTCTCTTTCTGTCAAAATAAATAAATAAAATCTTTTTTTAATTTTTTATTGTTATGTTAATCACCATATATTACATCGTTAGTTTTTGATGTAGTGTTCCATGATTCATTGTTTGTGCATAACACCCAGTGCTCCATGCAGAATGTGCCCTCTTTAATACCCATCACCAGGCTAAGCCATCCCCCTACCCTCCTCCCCTCTAGAACCCTCAGTTTGTTTTTCAGAGTCCATCATCTCTCATGGTTCATCTCCCCTAAATAAAATCTTAAAAAAAAAAAAAAAATGGACTAAGGACCTACATGTGAGACTTGAAACCATAAAACTCCTAGAAGAGAGCACAGGTAGTAATTTCTCTAACATCGGCCATAGAAACACATTTCTAGATATGTCCCCTTAGGGCTGAGAAACAAAAGCAAAAATCAACTACTGCAACTGTAGCAAAAAACAAAAACAAACAAACAAAAAAAACCCCACCTTTTGTACAATGAAGGAAATCATCAACAAAACAAAAAGACAAACTACTGAACAGGAGAAGATATTTGCAAATGATACATCTGGTAAGAGGATAATATCCAAAATATACAATAAACTTACACAACTCAACACCAAAAAAACAATGCAATTAAAAAATGGGCAGAGGACCTGAATAGACATTTTTTTCCAAAGAGGACATACAGATGGCCAACAAACACATGAAAAGATGCCGAACATCACTCATCAGCAGGGAAATGCAAATCAGAACCACAATAAAATATCACCTTACACCAGTCAGAATGGCTAGAATCAAAAAGACAAGATATAACACATGCTGGCGAGGATGCAGAGAAATGGGAACCTCTGTGTACTCTTGGTGGTAATGTAAATTTCATCCACTGTGGAAAAGAGTATGGAGGGTCCTCAAAAACTTGAAAGTATAAACATCATATGATCCAACAATTCCCCTACTGGGCACTTGCCCAAAGAAAATGAAAACACTAATTCAAAAGAATATATGGCCCCCTGTGTTTACAGCATTACAGTGTTATCTACAACAGCCATGACAGGGAAGCTGCCCAAGTGTCCATCGACAGATGAATGGATAAAGATGTGCTCTATATACACAATGGAATATTGCTCATCCATAAAAAAAGAATAAGATCCTGCCATTTGCAACAACATGGATGGACCTAGAGGGTACTATGCTAAGTGAAATAAGTCAAAGACAAATATCATAGGATTCCACTTATATGTTGAGCCTAAAAAAAAAACAACAAATGAACAAAGAAACAAACTAAAAAACAGACACATAAAGACAAAGAACAAACTTGTGGTTGCCAGAGAGGAGCTGAATGTGGGATGGTTGAAACAGGTACAAGTAAGAGGTACAAACTTCCAGTCACTAAAAAAGAAATAAAGAAAAGGAAAGAAAAATACAGTAATACAGTGATATGCCTCCTTTCCAATGGATCCTACTTAAAAAGATAGCAGACTAAATGTAAAACTCATCTTCAAAATCCTGACCAATTTCTCATCCATCCATCCTGAACACCCTGCCAGACCAGGCTAGTCTTAAGTGGCGCTTCGCTATGTCCATCTCTAAAATTCTCCTTGATCATCAGCATGTGCAAACTCCTCCAGCAAGCATGGTGGGCCCTCCACCACCTGACCACCTCACCTCACCTTCCTCCAACCACACACAATATGGGTCCCAGGAGGACCCCTATCCCTGTTTCTCCCTCAACAGCAGAAGCCAGCCTGTCCCACACCTGTGTGGACCAACTTACCCTCCCCACCATCAACAGGATCTTCCCACCAGCTGCACCTCTTCAGAAAGCCAACCCCTTCTCCAAACAATCCCACCATAGCACGCCTCCTGCCGTCCGCTCCATACCTGAGCTACCGTGGCTGGGAAGGCAGTGTAGGCCTAGGCAGCCTCCATGGTTTTCACGCCCGTGGTACCTGGGGCCAGACGAAATACGTGGCGTTCATGCCTCTACCCCTGAGGATCTGAGGGACCTCCAGCAAATGACCTATCTTTTCCATATTCAGCTTTCCCCATAAAATAAGGCTCTGGATATCTACACCTTGTAGGACCGTGTGTGCATTCTGTGTCTTAAAGACAATAATGCTGCTGATGGATGTGGGGATTTGAACACTGGGTGTCCTGCAGTGAACACTTAGTAAATGATAAAGGCTCTTACTGTGGTTGGGAGTATTTTGTTTCTACTGTAATACAGACTTCTACCCCTACCAGAATCCTTTTTAAAAAGCCAAAGCGAGCAGATTAACACATGATCACAAAAATCCTAAAACATCAAAAACCATATACATGCAGAAAATTCCATTTTTGTAGGTATTTTCCTCTATTTCCACCAAAATTCATAAAATTTCAATGTCCTCAACTGACATAAATGGTTATTAGTAGTTATTAAGTTTATTTAGCATTTTATGGTGAAGTTTAACAAGAAATAACTGCATCAGGCAAAGGAAGCCCAGAGCATATGTCGGCCTTTCCTGGTTCAGCATTAAGCATATTCCTAAGCCTTTAGGAGCCATAAACGCGTTTCTCACGGTTCTTAACAGCATTCCTGCCAGCATGCCTATCCTGTTAGAGATGTGCAAAAAATAAACACATCAAAAATAATAAAAATAAAATAAAATGACAGGTCCACGACAAACACATTCGGGCCCGTGTGAATTTGTAAGGCACACAACACAAGAATCTCTAAGTACCTGCCCCCTCCCTCTCCAAAGCGGGCAGACAAGAGTAGTTGTGGGAAAAGGAACTTCAGATTTAGCCATGCAATGAGCCGTAAAGACCCCTGATTTTATAGATGAAGGGGAAAAGGGCCTCAGGGTTCATGCCTGTGGCCCCAAAAGACACGGTAGAGGTAGGACCAACAAAGTGTCTGCCCAGCCCCTGGCCCTTTGTTCATAGTATCACAGCCTACACAATCCCATATTTAAAAGCAAACTGAAAGACTCAACTGTGTGAGATTATTAGCCAAAGGAATGGGAGGGAGGGAGAAGTGTGACAGATAGAATGATGCCCTCCCCCAAAGACATCCACATCTGAGTCCCCGGAACCCTGTGAGGTGTTACCTTACATGGCAAAGGGGGCCCTCGCAGGGGTGTCTAGGGTAAGGATCTCCAATGGGGATGTTAATCCTGC